GGGCATGGCTGGAGCCGTCATCTCCTCCGGGAACCATTGTCGTCGTTCCCACACCTTGAGGATAGGTGTAGGAGTGATCGGCGTCTGCGATGGGCCAGAAAAGCCAGGAGGAGGGCCTCGCCCGAACGGCATGGTCGTCGTCCAAGCTTCTTCGAACGTTGACTGCAAGTTTTTGGGAATTCCGTCCGCCATAGCTGAGCTTCAAACACAACTTTTTAAACGAAAAGTCCCCACAGACGGCGCCAATAATGCAAGTGTGCACGTCCTGGTCCGGTTTGGGGAAGATCGATTCTTGTCCTCGCCGATAGGACGCCAGAAACCTGCAAATAACTCTCACACCAGGGGTTGTGTCCGGTGAAGAGCCTCCGCTGCTTAAGTCAGTGTGTGTATAAGTATACTGAAGTGAATAATAGAGAAATCGTAATAATGGAGAAAGACTCACCCCCTTTATATATGGGTGAGATACCTGCCCTAAGCTGCCTGGATAAGGATGAGTTGGCTGCCTAAGCTGCCCGTCCGTACTCCGACACACCGCGCACATGTCAGAGGTGGCGCGGGGCGTTGGGAGCTGTCAGAGGTGGTTATCGCTATCAACCAATATATTCTCGACATGTGTCCTCCTGCACATGGGGTAAATATTCTCTTGAAATTCGGTTGGAGGCTCTTACACGCGCCTGTAACTAGGCCGATCTATCGAGTTTTGAGTCTGCGAGATGATCGACCTGCTGAGGTCGACTAGGTTGCTCGATCGCTTATCTGATTGAGCGATGGATTGGTCGACTGTTTGACTGGTCGACAGGTTATTTTGCTCGATCTTCCACTGCCTGACTCGGTTCCTTCATGGTATGACCCCTCTGTCTGGTTCAGTGAACCGGTTTAGCTTGGGGTATATAATATCCTATATCAGAAACATAAATATTTATTTATATATATATATATATATATATATATATATATATATATTACACAATAACTATTAATATATAATAATCATATATAATACACACAAACAATATTTATTTAATAATAATATACATTTAGATATTTAATAACATTTAGGCATTTAGTACAAATAATCTATCTATATATAAAAAGGTTGTTGGATAATTCATTTATAGAAACTTTTGATCAAAAAAATAAAAACTTTGACATACTAAAAATATAAAGGTTGAAAGCATTTATAAGACTAAGACACGTGCTTAAAATATGGACGCGAAACTTTATCTGCATAATTGATTTCAAGGTTTGAATAATCAGAGAAATATGTGGACACGATATTAGGTCATAACTGAATTCAAAGTTTGAATAATGAGAGATTATTGAAATTGGATAACTCTCACCTCTCTTCTAGATAACTCACAGTTTAAGATAATGTTCACTTAGAAGAGATAATTCACACTTTGAGATAATGTAATACAACGTGCTACACATTTCAATATTCCATATATATTCGGTCAATACAAAATGCCACACAAAAAAAAAATGTATAAATTCATATTCACGACCACCATTATATTTTCAAGCGGCTGATTCTACCGGCGAGACCTTGGAGTGGCGAACGATTAGCGACAAGTTGGGAGCGGGCCAGCAGCGGCAGTGACTCCAAGCGACCAAGTGGCAGCGGCGGCAAGGCAGCTTCTTACGGTAGTGATGGGCCAGCAGCGACAGTGACTCCAAGCGATCAACTGGCAGCGGCATCAAGGCAGCTTCTTACGGTAGTGATGGCTTAAATTAATTCTCAAAATGATGTGTGATTTATTATATGAACTGTCTGATTTGTGGATTTTTTATTTTTTTCTTTATTTTTTTTTATAGAATTCTGAATTTTGAAGATTCAATGGTTTCTATTAGATTTGATCCATAATTATCATTACACAATTGTCATCAATCTTTCCATTAAATTTCGGTCCACTACCACCATTATTTGTTCACTTCATTCACAGAGTTCATAGAATGCCGCCAGTCTGGGATACACTCGATTCCACGAATAGAACAAATAACCCTTTTTTGCACTTGAGAGTAGACCGAATAGTTGAATCGCATCACCAACGGGAGAGCTGGAACGCATTCCATATACTGCTTCATGATGAACAGGTAAAAATTTTTATTTGAAATATCAAATTTATATAATTTTAAAAAATATTTTATTTCATATTTATAAATTTAAATAACTGATAATTACTTGGTATCATCAACTCTCTCTCGCGAAAACCCTCCCCGAAAATTCCGTCTGATCCCGATCTCTCTCTCCACAATCCATCAGGTTTGCCTTCCTCGACGGTGAAGTAGCATCAGCTAGGGGTCGTCCTTGACCGCCTTCTCCACCCCTTGATGTGGCGCGAATTCGGAGCCTGCAGATGGCGACGACTAGGGTTCCAGCTTCAGATTGCAGTCGATGCTTCAATCGGAGAAGGCGCCCATCCCGGTCGGCGATTGACCAACTTCTTGAGTTCTTCCCTCCGTCGCGGGTGACTTTTCAGCGTGTGGTGGTAAGCCCTCTCTTTTTTCTCCTCGTCTGTGTTGGTTTAGAGGTGGTTGTTCAAGTGGAGCTCCGTCTTTCAGGTGGGGCTTCGATCTCCGGTCGTCGGCAGGCCAGTGGTGGTGTCGGGAGGGGCGCGTGTCTTCGGGTGGGGCGGGACCCTGGTGGCTGCAGCGTCTTTGTTGCGGTGGTTGGGGTTGAGGTTTCGATTTTTGCTCACCCTCCCCTGCTCGGATAGTGGTGTTAGGCGGCAGGGGACCAAACGCTATTCACCCTCCCCTTATATCCTTCTTGTGTCGATCGTTCACTGCTGGTTGGCCTAGTTCTCTCGCCGGGGAAGGGCTCAGTTTATTTTGTTTATTTTGTTCTGTTGTTGTTCTTGTCAATGTGTTGTTGTTTTTTTATATGTTATGGTTTGTTATGTGTTTTAGGTTTGGGCCGTTGGCCCGAGTGGCCCGAGTGTGACTTAATTATCCTGTTGGGATCATACACTCGGGCATACCCTGTTGGGGCCGTCTCTGTCTGTTTTTATTCTCCCTTGGGAGGTTTTAGTGTAGTTGTGTTTTTTAGTGTTTATCGAGTATTTCCCCGTTGGGGACGGTTCTAGACGGGCATTAGGCCTGTTCTCCCAGTTTATTCAGCTGTTAGCTGCTTGTATTCAGTCGTTGACTGTTTGTATTCAGCTCATAGCTGTACTTTTGCACTTTTGTGCGCTTTTTTATAAAATTTCTATCGTTCTGAAAAAAAAATAATAATTTTAAGAAATATTTTATTTCATATTTATAAATTTATATTGTAGGTTCTTTCATTAGAGGCATAATCCGTTCTAAACATATGGGAACATTTCGAGGTGTACTGAACGAAGGTGAGGTGTATGCAATCAGCAACTATGTCGTTGAATTTAATCATGGGAAGAAAGATATCAAAACCAACGAATAGAGACTTGTGCTTCATGGAAGAACCCGTGTTATCAAATATGGCGGGATTTTTCCTAAAAATAGTGGTATTTTCCCTCAACAATAAGAAAGAGCAGGAGATATATATGATATTTAGGGTTTTTTTTTTTTTCCGAAACGACAGGGATAACTATATAGAAATAAAAAGGCGAACCAAGATCGAATTACAACCCCACAACTCGAAAGAAAAATAAAAATGAGAGACGCGCAACAAGCGGTCTAGAGCCTCAACAAAGATAGCTAAAAAACCAGTCATAACCAACAAAGAACTAGACAAAAGGTCACCTGCCACTGCTCAAAGAGCCTAACAGGGAAAAAACAACAAAACAAACAACAAAAAAAAATCAAAGAAAACTGAACCAGCAAGCAAGCTAAACAAGAGAAGAAGTAGTAGCCGATGTGAACTCCAACCAGTCTGCAGAAGCCAGCTTGACCAAGATGGGTTCCGGGATGCGAGTGTTTTGAAATACCCACAAGTTCCTGGATTTCCAAAGCCACCAAAGTATATAGGTCGAGAGAAGAATACGGGCTTCAGCTACTTCAGAATTATCCAGAGAACAAACATGATACCACCAAGTTTTGAAAGAATCTGTGCAACACAATAAACCATCCCACTGAACTGTACTAAGTTTCCAGCAGTTCACTGCCCTACTGCAAGAGAAAAAAAGATGCTCTACTGTCTCAGCTGCTTCACCACACAATGTGCAAGTAGACTCCAAGTCAATTCCCCTCTTCCTCAGGTTTGTAGTAACAGGAAGTGAATTAGCAAGACACTTCCAGATGAAAATCTTGATTTTACCTGGTAATTTAAGCTTCCAATGTCTGAAGGAAATGGACTTCTTGAGGGTGGTAGAAGAGCTGCTTTCAGGGTGGTCAAGTTTATGGATTTTAGAGGACAATAGATGAGCATAAGTCTGAGAAACAAAAAATAAGCCTTTCTTGCTCAAGCCCCAATAGAACCTGTCCTCTCTTGAAGGAGAGATAGAGTTGATTTTCAGGATGGCATTACAGTCAACTTCATCAAACACTTGCCTTAATAACCAGTCATTCCAGTGAGTTCCCTCATTGTTTAATAAATCTCTAACCCAAATCAAATGATCTCTAGCAATAGGAATGAGTGAAGGACTGGGTTTGGAGTGATGTGGAATCCAGTTTAGATCAGTGATTTTAGTCTGCACACCACTTCTGATTTCAATGTTGAGACAATTAGCAAAATAAGGGATAACTTGCATCCAGCAATTCCACATCCAAGAGCCATTGGAAGTTCTAGAAGCATTAACCAGTGAACAGTTAGGAAAGTACCTTTCTTTAAGAATTCTGCTGACAAGAAGCTCTGGATTAGTGGCAATTCTCCAAAGTTGTTTACAAATTAAAGCTTTGTTGAATAATGGCAGGTCAATGAAAGATAAGCCTCCATTTTCTTTGGGAAGAGAAAGATGGTTCCAGCTTTTCCAATGGATTCCATGAGCCTGGTCAGACCCTGATTTCCACCAGAACTTTGCACATAATCTTGTGATTTCAGAGCAAATAGAGATTGGCAAAGTGAAACAAGCCATAGTATAGACAGGAAGGGCTTGAATGATGGACTTGATAAGAACTTCCTTCCCAGAGGAGCTAAGCATCTGAGATTTCCAAGAAGTGATCTTAGACTTGACAGAGTTCAACACATAATCAAAAACTTGTTTTTTAGATCTACCAATTCCCAAAGGCAAGCCCAAGTATTTGGTTGATCTGTGAGAGACAATGTTGTTCAGAGCATTGCAGATTGATCTCTTCAGGTGGTCAGATGTGTTTCTGCTGAAGAAGACAGCAGATTTCTGAAGGTTAACCGTCTGGCCAGTGAATAATTTGTATTTCTCAAGAATGCTCATCAGAAAACCTGCTTGATCAGTACCAGCTTTAAGGAAGAACAGGGAGTCATCAGCAAAAAGGATGTGAGATAGCACAGGCCCATTTATGGACAGTTTCAAACCTTTGAGCATCCCAGAAGATATAGAATGTTGAACCAAGGCAGTAAGCAATTCAGTTACAATAAGAAAAAGGTAGGGGGATAAAGGATCCCCCTGCCTTATACCACGCGAGGGAAGGACATAACCACTGGTGCTGCCATTAATTTTGAAAGAAAATGAGGTAGTAGTAACACAGGTCATGATCAGCTTGACAAAATCATTGTGAAAACCAATCTGAATCATAAGTTTCTTTAAACAAATCCATTCAACACGATCGAAAGCTTTAACAAGATCTAACTTGAGAGCCATAAAAGCATGAGGGCCAGAAGAGTGTCTATTAAGGAAATGGAAAGCTTCTTGTGCAATAATAATATTGTCAGTGATTTGTCTGCCCTCCAGAAAAGCAGCTTGAAGATCACTAATGCAACAAGGTAAGCAGGACTTAAGTCTTTGAGCCAAGATTTTGGAGATGAGTTTGTATATAACAGTACAGAGACTTATTGGCCTGAATTGGCTCAGATTGTCAGGAGAAAAACACTTGGGGATCAGAGATAGCACTGTGTGGTTCCAGTATTTCAGAATATTACCTGATTGGAAGAAACTGATGATTGCCTTCAAGAGATCAGCTTTGATTAAGCTCCAAAAATGCTGGTAGAAAATGGCTGTCATCCCATCCTCACCAGGGGATTTATCAGCTTGAAAACTGAATAGAGCTTGTTTAATTTCATCCTCTTCAACTGGTTTAAGGAGGGCAGTGTTCATATCTGGAGTAATGGTTTTAGGAATTAAGTGAAGGATAGAATCTCCTCCCCAACTGCCCTCTGAGGAGAATAGAGAAGTATAGAACTCAGAGATATGTGATTCCAGCTCAGATTGAGAAGATAAGACTCTGCCATTGTGGGAAGTCAACTGGGTTATAGCATTAAGTTTCCTTCTCTGGAGAGTGAAGGCATGAAAGAACCTGGTATTGGCATCCCCTTCTTTTAACCATCTGTACTTTGCCTTCTGCTGCCAATGAAGCTCCTCCAACATATGAGCCTTGTTCAGTTTCCTCTTAGTTTCTTCCCATAATTCCCAGTTCTCAACCTTCCCATGAGAATTGAGATCCTCCATTTGGTGAGTAAGGTCAGAGATTTCTTGTTGCCTTGAGGATAGATTGGATGAGCTCCATATAAGAATAGCAATCCTGGTATGCTTGACCTTTTCTTTGAGTTGGAATAGAGGAGTACCTGACACTGGGGTATTCCAAGCAGAAGTCACTACATCATTAAAACCCTCCATACACAACCATCTCTTGTCAAATTGGAAGGGAGCTTTTCTTTTCAAGGTAGGAGGACCAATGCTTAAGAGGAGAGCAGCATGGTCTGATGAGCTTCTGAGAATATTGGTAACTGAAGCATTGGGATATGAGTGAGACCAATCAAGAGAGCAAAAATCTCTATCCAGCTTTTCCTCAATAAGGCCAGGCATTGCTCTGTTGTTGTTCCAAGTGAAAGCATAACCAGTAGAATTGACTTCCATCATGTTCATATCAGATACAAAGGAGTTGAACCCCATGAGGCTGTGAGCAGGTCTGTTGGATCCTCCAGCTTTTTCAGAATTAGAGAGGATGTCATTCCAGTCCCCAATTGAAAACCAATGAGATCCCCATTGAGCTTTGGCAGTAATTAATTCCTCCCATTGAGATTCTCTAGTCAGTCTGAGAGGACTAATATAGACAAAAACACCCCATTGAAGGGGTTGGGACTGCAACTAGAACTCAACAGCAATAAAAAAGTTTTTACAGATAATCTGATTAACAACAACTTGAGAATCCCACAACAAAACAAGACCCCCACTAAGACCAGAGGGGTCTACAATAGCCATTCTATTAACAAAACCTAACTTATTACATACAGACTTGACAAAGGCATTTGGTTTTTTTGTTTCTGAAAGAAAGATAAAATTGGGGTGATGAGCTTTCTTGAGCTCTCTGATTTGGGAAATTGTAGAGGGCCCACCCAGCCCTCTACAATTCCATACCAGAGCTAACATTTATCAGGGTGGGGCCATTCAAGGCTGGCCACCCCTACCTTTTCCATTTCAGTTTTTTGTTTTTTGAGTTGAGCCTGAGTTTGAACATCATGATCCTCAGGCAGTGTAGATAAGTCCACAACTTGCCTGATTCTTTTGCCCTTGGACTGCTGGTCAATAATAATAGGAGAAACATTGGTACTGAGAAGTCTGTTCAATCTTGTACCTGTTCTTTTCGATGATTTCAGAGGATGATGTTGAGATGCTGGGAGAGACTCATGATGAAATATGAACTCTGAGATTGGGGATAACTCTCCTTTTTCAAGATCCATGGGGTTAGCATCCACAATTTGCAGATTAGCTTCTTCTAGGTTCCCCATCTCTGCAGCATTACCAGTAGTTGAGACTACAGAAGGTGCGCCCATTGACCGAGCTGGTGACTCAATTATTCCAGTGCTGGGGATTATTTGATTATTGGCTTGCCCTTGACTGGAAGAAGCTTTTTGGGATATATTGTTATCTGAGGGTGATGGAGATTCTGGAGGTGGGGTTGATCTAGAGCCTGAAAAACTGGAAGGATTTCCTTTAACACCATCAGGAGCTCTTAACCAATCACCATACTGCTCTTCTCTGAGAGAATTGTTTCGAATATCATCCATTTTTAATTGGCATGCTCTATCTAAGTGACCAATTTTTCCGCAATAGTGACAGAGGTTGATGAGTTTCTCGTACTTGAAGCCGACTGTCACTAACTGATTTCCCAGCCTCACCTTAGCCATACGAGGAATAGATTCTTCCACATTGAGAGTGACTAAGAGTTTTAGAATCTTACCTCCATGACTCCCTGTAGTCGCAATAACCACATTCTTGACCTTGTGGAAGGCCTGGCCTATCTTGAGCCCCACTTCCGTACTGATCCAATTAAGAGGAATGTTTTGAACCTGGACCCAAATATTCAGCTCCCGGAAACTAGGGTGTTTGCTGTTGATATTCATATCCCATTCTTTCAAGACTAGGTACTGATTCTCGAAACTCCAATTGGTACCACTAGCCACCTTCTTCATATCATCCCGGTTTTGAAAAATAAATTGAAAATAATTTGGGCAGAGTTCTTTCACTTCCATAGCTTGATTAAGCTTCCAGATTTGGGACATTGCTCGCTTTATACCAATCCAGCTTGCTGGCCTATCTCCGACTATTTTACCGAAAAGGCTTCGATTGCACTCGTCATCACTGAGCTTAATGTCGTTCTGAGCTATATCAAAGATTTTTTCTTCATTGACAGAAAGGGCAACTTTGTTAAGCCGCTCCGAGAGCTCTTGATCAAAATCCGCCATAACAACCCTAGAATTGAAACTTGCGGCCGACAGAAATAAGGAAGGGAAACAGAAATGAAATCCAAATTAAGGTGAGATTGTTGGATAATGCATAGAATCAGAGGAGATGAAATCAGGGGAGATGAAATCGGGGAAAAATAATTGCTCTCAAAGAGAGAATTAGGGCTCTCAAAGAGAGAATTAAAATTTTGATTATTATGAATTTTATTTTCATTCCATGTCGTTCAATTAAGAATTTTATAAGAAATTTTAGTGTAATTATATTTGTTATAATTATAAAATATCGTTGATATATTTATTTTCAGTATTCAATGTCGCAAGAATGCTTAAATTCGACCTTTTTATTTTTTACTTCTAATGTATATTAGTTTTTGGTAGAAGGCCAATACAAATTTTAAAAAATATTTCAAATATAATATTATATAAATTATTTTTTTCGAAATTAATATTAACTGAAGCAAGTACATTTAATCGTTTATATTCATATATATTTGTTTGATTATAATATTTATTTGCAATTTGTGTTATATAATAATAATAATGAATGCTGATATTAATGATAAAAGTATAAATATTATAACACCACAATTCTATCCTAACAAACAATAATTTGTAGACAAGCCTCAATTCATAATTTGTGGATAAACCACAATTTCACTCATTATAAAGGGTTAAATATTTATTTTTACGTCAATATGATCAAGCAACAATTTTATAAAATTGTTGAATAAATTTTGCTTAAAATAATATTATAATAAGTTATATATTAATCTCTAATCTACAGATAAGTCATGACTTAAAATATACTGACTTCATAATTAATGGTTTGGAGATAATATTGGAACAATAATATATGGATAACCATAAAGATAAAATTGCACGTTGCAGTTTAATTATTAAATTAAAATTTAATGGTTTAAGAGATAATAATTAATTGTGTAGAGATAATATAGGAACAATAATATGTGGATAAGTGATGATTTAAAATCGCACGGGTTAGTTCTTTATCAATCCAAAATCACAAACTGAATTCATAATTAACAGTGTAGAGATAATATTGGGTCAATAAGATATTGATAACTCATTCTTTAAAATAGCACATGGTTGTTAATTCACATGGTATGATTTAGCTGAGATATATATTAACAACGACATATCCCATCTTCTTAACTAAATTGCACTTATCTTATCATCATACAAGAGTTTCAATTTATTAAAACTCATATTTTAAATTAATCTAATGGTTATCAACTATTATCCCATGCCTATAAAATGATAGAATGATAGTGCATCACGTATCAGAAAAAAATCTTACTCCCATTTGGATGTAAAGCATTGAAGCAGAAAAATGGCAAATGCATGGAGAATCATCAAGCAAGTAACAAGGACTAACAGACCAATGATCAACCTAAGAGTTGTTCGTGTCTTTCAAAGGACTAGTGAATACTCATCCTACAAGAACATCCTTGAAATTGACTTTCATGACATTGAGGTATAATTTATAAGACATTTTAATGATTTAACATTACTTATCATATTACACAATAATTTACAATATTATGTTTTTTTTAAGGGCGGTCAAATTACTGGAATAATAAGAGCAATAAGCATCCCTACTTTCAACAATGACTTTAAAGAAGGGGTTGTCTATGCACTTCGAAACTATCAAGTCGAGAGTAACATTGGAATGTACAGATCCACCATTGCAAATACAGGCTTATCTAACATGGTAGAACTGAACACATAAGCTATAAGGGTGACTTT